GTCTTTTTGATAAAAGGTGAAAGTTAGGAACTGCAGGCCTCTTGCTCTTTTGATCCACCATGTCTTTTTGATAAAAGGTGAAAGTTAGGAACTGCTTCAGTTAATACATCCTCATGCATCATTTCAAGTTTTGGTCATGACATCTGCTTTTGCCTTGGGTCCTGCCTGAAAGCCTCCTGATGATACTGTCTGGCTCACCTTCTCTCAATAATGGGTCTTTTGTGCCCTCTTCAGTAAGTCTCCTAAGCTTTATCTATGAATTCTTAATTCCTGGGATTGGTAAAAAAATTCCTAGGATTAGTAAAAAGCTACAAGAGAAAGTAGTGCAAATTATTTTTGTTGAAAAGGTACAAACAAAGCAGTTGTTGATAAAATCCCCGCCTTCATCAAGTTTAAGAGGGTCAAAAACAAAAACCAAAAAAATTGTCTTTTCATGTGCTTTAAATATAGAGGTAGTAGTGGTGTTAGTATTACTAAATTTACTCTTGGCTTAAGGACATCTCTGCCCTCCTAAATTCAATTGATTATGCAAAGATTTTTTTTATTCATACTTTAGCACATGTTTATACTTTTGAAATTCTTATTTACTGTATAATATACCTTTGGAAGTTATTTTTGAAACTAATATGTATGTAGATGTAAATGGTAAGCTGAGAACACAAAATTTTATGGTACCTATTCATGGAATTTGCCCAAAATTTTCTTTAATGATATTATTCAGATGGTGCAGCACTTATTTACACTTCAGTAAAAGAAAACAAAAATATAGACTTAGTATATAAATACATTGTTCAGAAACTATATGGATTTCCCTATAAGATTCCTGCTGTTGTTGTGGAAAAGGATGCAGTATTTATGTAAGTATACTCTTAAATATATTATTTTGTTATGTATTGTTGCTAGTATTTGATTAATCATCATTTTCAGTTTTGAGATGAGACCAGTAAACCTTTCCATGATAAGTAGATGAGAATCTGCTCCTTGGGTGTTGTATTTATTACCTGCCTTGATCTATATATCATTGCCTGTGAGATTTACTGCTGGCCTGAGCCCTTTTTGAAAGGCCTTTGCCATTATAGTTAAACTGTCTAATGGATGCATGTATTAGTGTATTGTATCTACTTATTCTTTAATTGATTATGATACATAAATGACTCAGTGTGTAATCTAGACATGCTTTTGAAAAGCTCCCTGAATAAAACTGGGAGGTAATAATTCCCACACCAAGAAAAAACTGTAATGAAGATTTTTTAAGATCAAGAATGTTTATAATCATTTTAAATAGAAATTATTAAAACATAACTTGGACATTATAATAAAAAGCTAGTTTTTCTTAATTGGTCAAATTGACATCATAAAAAATGTTCCTTTTACATGATTATGTGTTAAATGAAGAAATGACTATATAAATGCTTGAGAATTCATCATATGCATTTCTTTCCAGTCCAGCAGGGTGGGATAATGATAAGAAAATAGGAATATTACATGAAAATTTTCAAACATTAAAAGCAGAAGATAATTTTGAAGACATCATAACTAAACCTCCTGTCCGAAAGGTAACAGTTTCAAGTAGTTTCAGTATTTAGGCTTTTAAACTGAAGGGTAATTCCACAACTTTAGATTGCAGGTAGAAAGGCAAAGATATTCTTTTCGGGGGTGGGGGGTAGGGGGGCAGTTCTAAGTGTAATTTGGCTTTTTTCTAATGTATAATTCACACAATGATTTGTTTTAGCAAAATATAAATCAACTATTTCGTTACTGAATCTTAGCCTTTGGCATATCTATATTAGCAAGTATTAGTACAGAATCTATATTCTGATATAGTGCCTTGGAAATCATGGATTGGCATGAGTGTATGTGTTGATCTTGAGCAGTTTGAATGGTAGAAGCTGTGAAATTTCTAACTTAGATCTTGGCCAAAAGCCACAAAAACATTGCTGGAGTAATTCTCTTAGTTCTACCTATTGAGGCAGTTCTTGGATTTTCTCTACAGGTATTAGTTATCCACTGTAGTACACAGCTATCCAGGAGCTTCCAGTTTTCTATATTCAATTTTAGTCTTGACTCTAACGTGTCATTCTATAACTATTAAGTCATGTTAAGCAGTATATGATGTTCTATGTTAGATACATAGATGTTTCTGAAAAGTTGTATAAAAATGAATGTTTCTATATACAGATTGAGTATTCCTAATCTGAAATCTGAAATGCTCCAGAGTCCAAAACTTTTTGACATGGTGCTCAAAGGAAATGTTTATTGGAGGATTTTGGATTTTCAGATTAGGAATGCTGAACTGGTAAGTATAATGCAAATATTCTGAAATCCAAAACACTTCTGGTCCCAAGCATTTCATATAAGGGATACTCAACCTGTAATACTTCTCACTGGCTTGCTTTTAGTTTGGACATGTATTTCAGGAAAAAATAATTTTGATTCAACATATATTGAGTCTTAAGCATCCAAACATTCACAATATAAAGCATTCATCTTCTTTTGTGGGTTAGTAGTAATAAGTAAGGTCAAATGAAAATCAATTGATGTGGTATTTGGTTGGCTTGTCTATTAAAGGAAATACACATACAAAAACAAAACAGCAAAAATGTTTCCCATTCTTTTTGCCAACAAAATGCTTTCTTTAAGTTTTTTTCTTTTATTCATTCCACAAATATTTATTGAGCACTGTTTAGGTGCTAGGTGCTAAATAGGAAGGAGGGTGATGCAAATGATAAAGCAATACAGAGACCATCTGCCAAGTGGTGATAAGTGCTGTGGAAGTAAAGCAGGAAGTGGAGAGAGTGAGAGGACTGGGCCTGGAGGAATTCTGTTTTAGGTGGAGGGAAGGTCTCTGATAAGAGGGGAGAATGTTGAAGGCCAAGGAACTGAAAGTGCACATACCCTGAGGTAGGAACATGTGAAGAAGGCAGAGAGGCTGGAAAGAGCTGTGCAGAGGGCCGGAGTGATAGGAGATGAGAGGCAGAGTTCAGTTATTGTGGGGCCATTAAGGCTGCAGTAAGAACTTTGGATTTCATTCTGAGTTACGTGGAAAGTAATTGGAGAGTTTGAGCAGAGGAATGATGTAATCTGGCAACCTTTTAAAAGGATCTCTCTGGCTCCTGGGAAGAACATAGACTCAGTGTGTGTGGCATAGCAAGAGTAGAAGCAGGAAGCGTGCAATTCCTTTTCCTAATTATTCAGGTGATAGAAGAGCCATTATATTTTTATTTCGAGGAAACCAGGAACAAGTGTCATTTCACTCAACTGGGTTATTACTCACCCTTTTAAAACACCAACCTGTTGTTTAGCAAATTTTGTTAACGTGATTAATATGCCTGTGGCTCTAGGGTTGTGCTGTTCAGTAGAGTAGCCACTGGCCACATACAGCTTTTAAATGTAAAGTAAATTAAAATAAATTTAAATATCAGTTGCTCTGTCACATTAGCCACATCTCAAGTGCTCAGTAGCCACTGGTGGCTATTGGCTACCGTATAAACAGTACAGACACAGAACAATTACATCATTGTAGATAGCAATGGACAGCTCTGCTATAGGGCTTGGGAAGGGCAGTTCACTCATGTAAATATAAATATAGGTAATGTTTATATTCGTGAATTATTTTTTGATTAGTCTAGAGAGTAAGTTATCAAGAGTGTTGGCATAATATATTAAACTTGCTCACTTATGCATTGCTTATTTCAGTTTGTGCATGAGAAGGAAATTATGGCAGAAGATGACCAAGTGTTTCTTATGAAGCTTCAGGTATGAAATTACATCAGAAACAGATTTAATATGGTTAACGGGTAAACTGTTCTTATATTTATTTTCTTTAAAAATACAGCAATACATGCTGCAAATGTCTAAACTAGGATTCTTTTGTTTCTTTTTAGTCCCTTTTAGCAAAGCAACCACCAACTGCAGCTGGAAGGCCTGTGGTCAGTATTACAGATTTTGATAAAATT